AGAATTAAAGTTGGAAAAAGAATATAGAAAAGTTCTAAACATAGAGGTGTTAAGAACGGGTTCTCAAGAGATGTCATTTAATTAAGAGTTAGTTACATAAAGAGACACATTGTGTCTTTACTTATCTCTGAGAGATACAATATTTGTTTGACACACATTCTTTTAACTTTCTTTGCTAGCTGTTTTTTTTCTTGGAGATATAACCTTGCTTTTAGCTAAGGAGCGTATGTTCGTTTTAAGAAAGTAAGTGAGTTGTAACTAAGTTATTTCTCAGTTACAATTAATGAAAAAACCTCCAACTCGAAGTATGTATATGGGATAGAAATAATTGATTTTGGTCGTTGGATCTGACTAAGAACAAAAATTAATAAAATATATGAATTAATGTGAAAAAAATCTGAGTTGTTGGATCAATTTACATATGAAAAAATTTAAAAACTAAGATATCCACCATCACTTCCTCTTCCTCACGTCTTTCACCTCCACTATCACATCATCCACTACCACATCATCCACCACCATGACATCCACCACCACTTCCTCTTCCTCACATCTTCCACCTCCATGTCCATATCCACTACCATAACCACTACATTCACTACCACCTCCTCTTCACGTCTTCCACCTCTGTATCTAACATCCACTATCACGTCTTCCACCTCCGTATTCACATCCACCACCACAACATCCACAATCACAGCATCCACTACCACCTCCCCACATCCGCTACCACAACATCCACAACTACAGCATCTACTCACACCTCCTCTTCCTCACGTGTTCCATCTCCGTATCCAACATCTACCATCACATCATCCACTATCACAACATCCACAAATCACCACCTCCTCCTCACGTCTTTCTCTCCTCTACCTCTATTACCAATTTATTCATCTTCACATCATTTTGAAAACCAGATCTCGAAACTATGATAAAAATTAGACAAGAAAGTAATTTTTTTATATATGAATCTGTTAAATATATTTATGAAGCTAGGAATAGAGAGTTACGATTGAGAATGGATGAAAGTTTCTGGATTAATGGTGTGACTCGCCAATGGTCGAGGATGAAGAGCTGGAGAGGCTAACCCAGTGGAGCAGTCTCAGATCGACAAAAGAGAGTTAGAGACAGAGAGCTTAAACAACAAAGTGGCTCCGACGACGTGAGGATGAGGAAGTGGTGCTGGAATTTGATTTCTAGATCCAAAAAATTGAAGGAGAAGAGAGAAGGGAGAAAAAGTTAGGATTCTCTTTTTGTGTGTTTTACAAATAAAAAAGAAAATAATAGATCTGTTTTGTTTGGTTGGAAAGGCTAAGAAAATTGATAACCCCATTAGTTAAAGGTTATCTTGGTAAAATTACAAGAAAAAATGTGTTAATTCAGATTATGTCTTTTAGAGTAATTCATAACTTACAATGTGTCTCTCAAAATAATATTTTTTTTAATTAAGGTTTCAACTGATTTTACAAAATTAAAACAGAATTAACTTATTCGAATAATATTTTTTTTTAAGTCCTAGAGTTAAAGAAGCCAAACGCTTTGGGGGGGGGGGGGGTTAACCTATGATATTGCTCTTATAGTTCCTTTTTTATGTGTTTCAACTAGTTGAATGTTTTCAGCACAATTGAATTCACATAATCTATTTTTTAGCTCGTCCATTGTACGAATTCAACTATTGTATTACAGATTCAATAAGTTTAGTGTGCATGGAGCTTGAGAACCCAAGGAAATTTCCTTTCAAGTTAATTTCTCACGGTTGCTTTTATCATAGAGACATTTTTTAGTATGCTGAGTGTTATCTTGGCAGCTAATGTTTGTCGCATTTGTATATAGTTCAACTCAACGAATGATCCAGCTACGGTAAACCCGTGACTCCATATTTGGTTTTTTTTTGTTCATCTTCACTAGTAATTTTGTAAGAGGACTATCAGCTCCAGAATATTATCTTAAAGTTTTCTTTTGCCGCTAAATGGCATTTCAAATAAAAATACATGCGCTATATGATTCCACGTATGTTTTCATAATTTTTTAAAAAATCATCAAAAAGTTATTTTCTTTTTCAAAACTGTAAACAAATAAAAATTTAAGAAAGGAATCTGACATGAAAAGACAATTGAAAATCACCCATAACAATCATTTTACTAAACCGTTTATTATACCCAATCATTCAATCAAAAACAGGGCTCGGTTAATTACAGATCTCAAGATTCTGCCACGTGTACAGAAGTTTGACCGTCAAACACAAAACAAAACCAAAATAGATTGGAGATCTCAAAAGGCAGGAGATTAAAAAAGAGAGAAAGAAGAAGAAGAAAAAAGGAAGGAAGGTGGATCTTGTTTGTTCAAAAAAAAAAAAAAAGGAAGGTGGATCTTGTGAAATCGGTGGCGCCTGATACTCTATAAAAAGACATAACTCCTCCTTTTCTGGTGAGCATAGGCACGACGACACGAGGCTCTTCTTCTTTTGAAAATAAATCACCCAACCACCACCCCGACCTTGAATCTAAACGCTCTTTCTTCTGGTAAGCTTCTTCTTCTTCTTGAACCCTTTCTTCCTCAAAGTACGTGTCGAACGTGAATCAGCCTTTGCCGTTGCATCTCTGTAGCTTAAATATCTCGTGTTATGGTTTTCTAGATTGTGACATATGGAATTGGTTTGCCTGATTGTGACACTTTGAGTAAATCAGTGTCTTTTTTTTTTTTTTGCTCTGCCTCTTAAATTGTAGTATTTAATTGGGTTTTTGACTCTGGTAATGATGATGATTTTTATATAATGCTGTGTCAAAGCGTTGACTAGTTTGTTTTTATATAAAAAAAACATTATTTTGTATGTGTTTGTGATTGTAGATTCTCTTCCTCTTCCATCATGTTTTCGTCCTCTGATTTTGATCTTTGTAAATAATAATTTTTTTTTACTTTTTACCAGATGGCGTCCTCAAGCCCTCATCATAGTCACATCATTGAGGTTAATGTAGTTAAACCTGAGGAAGAAAGAACAGCACTTGGGGCAAGTAAAGCCTGTGGAGAAGCGCCATGTGGGTTCTCAGATCTCAACAATGCTTCTAGCGATGCCGCTGAACGCAACGCTTCCATGCGAAAGCTCTGCATCGCTGTCGTGTTATGTCTTTTGTTCATGACCGTTGAAGTTTTTGGTGGGATCAAAGCTAATAGCTTGGCTATATTAACAGATGCAGCACATCTTCTCTCTGACGTTGCTGCCTTTGCCATCTCCTTGTTCTCCTTGTGGGCTGCTGGTTGGGAAGCCACTCCTAGGCAGACTTATGGGTTTTTCAGGATTGAGATTCTGGGAGCTCTTGTCTCTATCCAGCTCATTTGGTTGCTCACTGGTATTCTCGTCTATGAAGCCATTATCAGACTTCTTACAGAGACCACTGAGGTTAATGGATTCCTTATGTTCCTCGTTGCTGCGTTTGGGCTACTTGTCAATATCATAATGGCTGTTCTGCTCGGCCATGATCATGGTCACAGTCATGGTCACGGACACAGCCATGGTCATGACCATCACAATCACGGTGGGGTGACTGTTACCACTCATCACCATCATGATCATGGTCATACTCATGGAGAGGACAAGCACCACCACGCTCATGGGGATGTTACTGAGCAATTGCTGGACAAATCAAAGCCGGATAAAGAGAAGAGAAAGAGGAACATCAATGTCCAAGGAGCTTATCTTCATGTCCTTGGGGACTCCATCCAGAGCGTTGGTGTTATGATCGGAGGAGCTATCATCTGGTACAACCCGAAATTGAAAATAGTAGATCTGATCTGCACTCTTGTCTTCTCGGTTATTGTCTTGGGAACAACCATCAACATGATTCGAAGCATTCTTGAGGTGTTGATGGAGAGTACACCTAGAGAGATTGACGCTACAAAACTGGAAAAGGGTTTGCTGGAAATGGAAGAAGTGGTGGCTGTTCATGAGCTTCATATTTGGGCAATCACAGTGGGAAAAGTGCTACTTGCTTGCCATGTCAATATCAGACCAGAAGCAGATGCAGATATGGTGCTTAACAAGGTTATTGATTACATCCGCAGGGAGTACAACATCAGCCATGTTACAATACAAATCGAGCGGTGAAAGCAAAGCAAACATCTGAAGGAATATTCTGTATCGGCATTCTCATTAACAACTATAAAATCAATAAAATTTCCGTCTTTTTCGCATTCTCATGTGTAGATGTCATCTTCTTTTGGTTGAGCTCATGTAAACCAAAACCGGCTCTACGATCTCCACCTCACATTAGCCTATTCAACTTGTTCTCCATTAATCTCAAAGATATTTGTTTCCGACAGCACGGTTTGGTTTCTGTGTCAGAAATATAACTGGTATAACTGGTAACAGTTGCTACCAGATGAGTTATGTGTATAGTTGTCACTGTTACCAAACTTACCAAACATACTATAATGCGATCCTCGTAACAGGAGTCCCCGTGAGTCCCATTCCCAAGTCGTTTTGTGAGTAACCTTTAGATCTGACATTCCGTAATTCTTAATCTTTGTTAAGTAAATAAAATACAAATCTTTCTTTTCTACATTGTGTTTGTTGCACGGATTATTAAGTATATCGATGGAAACTTTATATTATAGAAACGTTGGATTAGAACAAGAGATTAGCGTTTTGGAGTAAAAATAGGAGAGCTCGAGGTCCAATGGTGCAAAGTGTTTGCTATTCAACGGACCATTAGTCTCCTATTCCCCAACTTCTATAATCTCCCTCCTTCGCATCCTCACCCTCCATTTTTAACCTATATCCCTTACGATATTGACACGTGGCGTATAAGAAGAAAAACAACTGTGCACACACGCATGTCACAGTTCTCAATTCTCAATATTTTCACAATTTCACAATTCTCAATATTTTCACAATTCTCTAAATTTTTTTTATATTTTCAAGTCCCATGAATATAGCTTTTGATGCATTAATACAAACTCTCAATATTCTTTTAACATCTTTTACTCATCCATTGCTAGCCAAAATGCATTCTCTGTTTCGCCCTTATTCTTCTTCGTCCTCTGCTCTGTTTCTACTTCTTCTCCTCCTCCTCACTCTCCAACCTCTAACCTCCATCTCTCTCTCTCAACCCGAAGCTCTCCCTTCACCTGAAAAGTGCGGAAACTTCTCAATCTCTTTCCCTTTCCATCTTTCCTCCTCCTCCTCCTCCTCGGTAGCTTTTCGACTTACTTGCACAAACTCATCAACTCTGTTTCTCCACATAAACAACCAAACCTACCGAGTCATCGAATTCTTCACAGACGGTCTCCTCGTAGACTTCCCTTCTTCCTCTCCTTGTCGCCAATTCAACGACTTACGCTCTTTCCCTTTCTCCACGAACCAATTCTTCTCCATCTCCTTCGAAAACGTAATCAGTCTTTACGACTGTGAAGACTCTTCTCTCTGCAAAGCCGGTTGCGAAAGCAACGTTCTCATCGGTTGCGACGGCAGGGAAGAAGACGAAACCTCCGGTGGAGATATCGGATGTTGCTATCCTTTGTCTGATCACAGCGCGTGGCGTACCGTTGATGACTTCTCTGTTTTTGGTAAATATGGATGCAGAGGATTCTCTTCGTGGGTTATTCCGAGAGGCACGAACAGAGGTAAACGAGGCGTTAAGTTAGAGTGGGCGATTCCTAGAAACTCTTCTGATGCTATTTGCGATCCTGAGGCTCGAACTGTCAACGCTACAGCCATACAAGGAAGTGTTCGTTGTGTGTGCCGAGATGGGTTTGCTGGCGATGGCTTTGTCCACGGAACCGGTTGCTTGAGATGTAAGTTACTAAAATTTACTTATTTTTGTTTTCTTGCATCACAAGCAACTAACTTTGTATACTGTTACAGCTTGCTACAGAGATGGAAATGAAGTATATGGAAATAAATGTGATTTTAAGGAACATAACGGAAAGAAACTAACCGTTTTAGCTGGTAATTAATATAAATCTCAACGAGTAGATTCATAGTTTTTCAGAACCAAACTTGTTGCTTAAATCATATTATATTCATATGCAGGAGTGTTAGCTCCTCTATTTATACTCGGCTCACTCTTAGCACTCTTCTGTCTCCTAAAACGCCCGGTAACATCAACTCACGAAGCTCAACACTTCGATCACTCTCCGACAACAACTACTACAAGTGTTTCATTTCGCAAAGGTTACAACAAGACTCGTCTCTTCACATACCGTGAGCTAGAAGAAGCCACCAAAGGGTTTCAAGATTCACATAAACTCACACAAGGCAAAACCGGAACTATCTACTCAGGTAATCTAAAAAACGGAACACGTGTGATCATCCACAAGGTTCTATGTGAGAACCAGATTGAGTTCTTGGAGATTTCGTCTCAGATCGATCATCTATCCGCGGTTTTGCATAGGAACCTCGCGAGAATCATAGGTTTCTGTATGGATATTGGATACAATCCGGTCGTTGTTTACGAGTATCCGGTTAACGGGTCGCTTGGGGATCGTTTGCGTCTAGGGCTTGACTGGTGCAAGAGAGTTAATATTGTAGCTGAAGTAGCGGGTTTACTTGCTCTGCTTCAATACGAGAACTATCCACCGATCTTACACAACAACATTGGTTCGGGTTACATCTTCTTAGACGAAGACTTTCAAGCTAAAGTCACAGGCTTTGGATTACAGAGGAGACAGAGGACTGATAGTAGTATGTACGATGTGGCGGTTTTGCTTCTAGAGATTGTGACTGGATCAAAGCAGAGAGAAGAGACGGTGGCTCAGGCGTTGCAGAGGATTAAAGGCGGTAAGCTTGAAGAAATTGTGGATCCTTGTTTGTATTTTCATGAGCAGCCAGGGGTTTATAGAGAGCAGATTGGTTTAGTTGCTGATATCGCGACTCGGTGCGTTTTGTTTGGTGGTGATGGGAAGTTTGGGATGGTTGATGCGGCTAGAGAGCTGTTGCAGATCGCTGAAAATAACGGTGGAGTCGGTTTTGATAAGAAAGGAGATGGAATAGAGGAAACGTTTTCGAATTCGAGTTTGCTTCAGATGATTTCTATGTCTCCTGATTCTATCTATCTCCCTAAGACATGAGTAAAGGAAACAGAGGATATTAAGGGCTTTTTATTTTTGCTTTGTTTTGTTTTGAATGTATGTAATGTAAAACGCAAGCTATGCTTTACTTGAGAGTAAAGAAACGTTTTTTAAATTAATTGCTCGTGACTGCGATTGGTAGTCACGATTATAAACAGAGTTCTTGCAAAAGGGATGAAGAAATATCTTAAACAAGTGCAGTATTTTGTTTTTCAATTTTTATAAATTAAAATTTTGAATTTCTGCACAAAAAACAAACAAAGAAAAGAACTTGATTGGCTGCGATAGGCCTGGGCGTTCGGGCCCCCCATCGGATTCGGTTCGGGGGAAATGGATTTTCGGGTTTTCGGTTCTTAGCTCAAAGGCCCCATTCGGGTTATATGAAATTTCAGTATGGTCTCGGTTCGGAATGTGTCGGGTTCGGACTGGATCGGTTCTTTGTCAAACGACCCGCAAATATCCGAAGATAAAATGGGTCCGGTTCGGATCCGGGTTTTGTAACAAAAAAACCTCGAATGTAACTTAACTAAACCGAAAATAACTTAACAACCCAATTAAACCAGAAAAAAAAACCTTCATAACAATTTTTTTTTGTAAATTGTTCACAACAAAGCTTTTTGTAAATTGTTCACAACAAAGCTTTTTGTAATCCATCGCAAGCATAAAACACAAATGTAAGTGAAGTAAAAGAACAAAGAATGACAGAGAACTCGAAACAGAGGACATGCAATTAGAAACTGAGTTCATGAAAAAACGAATCAGAAGCCATTTAAATAGAAGATGTTTATGCTGATCTCTAATCTATTACCATTTCTTTTAAGGATTACCAATTGTTTTAGAAAAACCAAAGAAAAAAAGGTGCAAAAAAAAAACGAACATGTGATTGATTCTTCCAATTCTCAGAACTCATATGGAACAGGAGACGGAGAGACAAAAGGGCTTTGGCTTCCAATTGATGATTAAAAGATTGAATCAAAAAGCCTTTTTGGGATTAGGGTTTGGTCGCACAAGGAGAATCCAAACAGGTGAGGAGGAGAATATGTCTATACATTATATATGGTCGGTTTATTCGGGTGCTTGGTTTGGATCTCGGTTTACAACCGACCGAACCCGATGTCCGAAAGTCAAGAGCTCATGTCCCATTCGGTTTTTCTCATGGTCCCGTTACCGATCCGCACCCGCTATTTCGGTTCGGGTTAGAATGTGGATTTCGGTTACAGTTAATTACGTCCAGGCCTAGGCTGCGAAAGAACATCTCTGGTATGATTTTGACCAAATCGTTATGTTATTTGTATGGGGAAAATTCCGTAAAACACCACAAAAAAATTTTCATTAACTTTTTTTGATCAAATTTAATATTCAAACTAATCATTTTTCTCGTTTTAATATATTTACTTTTAAAGTTATGCTCATTTTAATACTTAAATTATGTTAATTTTAATCACAAATATTAATAATTTTCAAACAAAACTTAAAAAGTTTCTCAAATTGAAACAAAAAATTTCAAAATTTAAATTTTATTTGGAATTTTAATAATAAAGTATTTAAATTTTCATAATAGTAAAATTTAGAAAAATTAATTCTGTATAAAATAAATTAAGTATTTAAAAAATTCAGAAAACAAATTGATAAAACTAAAACTAATATCATAAAATACATAATACTATCCAAAATTTAATTACTTTTATTCTTAAAAAATAAAATAAAATATTTTTTCAAAAATATTTTTTGACCATTAGAGCTTTTCTATGTTTTATTTGAAATTTATTATTAAATCTGCATAATTTGGGTTAAAATGAACACATTTTAAAAAATAAATGTATTAAAATGAGTACAATAATTAATTAGTTTAGATATTAAACTAGGTGTTTTGCCCGCACATGCGGGCTTAATTATCTTTAAGTCAATTAAAAAAATCATCAAAATAAATGATTATTTGCATCCAAAAACATCGACCTAAAACATTATTTTTTTTCATGATAAAGTTATTCACAAAATTTTTAAAAATTCAACTTTTTCCTTTAAAACTTTGAAAAATCTCAAATCTATTTCATTTTTTCTTAACTAAAAAAAATATAGAAATCTATCTTTCCATTTGAAAAATTGAGTCGATAAATATACATTCAAAATTTGATCTTACAGAAAGAATAATATTAGTTTGGATAATAATACAATATATTTGAATTTATTTTTGTCAAACACGTATTTTCTTTCTTTTTTAATGATCTTCTATTTTATATGATTAATTCATGTTTAAGGTTTAAGTATATAAAATATAAATTTAAATTTAAATTTAATTTAACATGTGAGTTCAGAGACAAAAAATAACTTCAAAAAAATAACAAATATATATATATATATATATATATCATTATATTAAACTATTATATTCTTTTGATAAATAAGTATGTATTATATTTTTTCAATTTTTTCTTTTTAATTATATATAATTAAAAAATTTACTTTATGAATATTTATTTATGTGTTTTCTGTTTTTGAAATTTGTTATTAAAAATATATTTTCCAGATAACAACAGAATATATATAGGAATTAGCTTTTTTCTTTTAAATATATATTCAGATTATGGATAATTCTTATCATTATTATCAATTTAAATCATTTATCTAATCAAATAAGTATTAAATTCGTTTTTATTTTTGGCTGATTTATATATTTTATTCATTAAGGGTATAATCGATATTAACCATTCCAACTTTTAACGTGAGAGCTCCGTTGATATTATTACCAGTATTCGATCAAATTAAAAATTTTATTTTATGAATATTTATATATGTGTTTTCTGTTTTTAAAATTTTTTATTAAAAATATATTTTCCAGATAACAACATAATATATATAGGAATTATCTTTTTTTCTTTTAAATATATATTCAGATTATGGATAATTCTTATCATTATTATCAATTTAAATCATTTATCTAATGAATATTTTTTATCATTATTATAGATTTAAATCATTTATCTAATCAAATAAGTATTAAATTTTTTTTTTTTGGCTAATTTATATATTTTATCCATTAAGGGTATAATCGATATTAACCATTCCAACTTTTAACGTGAGAGCTCCGTTGCGAAAAATCACTTCGCAAATAATAGTATAGACTGGATAGAAACAAAGATTGAATATTTAAAAAGTTTATCAAAATTTAGTTGAATTACTTTTATGAAATTCCCAAACTCGGGTTTCTCGTAGATATCTATACTATTATTTGCGAAGTGATTTTTCGCAACGAAGCTCTCACGTTAAAAGTTAGACTGGTTAATATCGTTTATACGCTTAATGAATAATTAAAAATATCAATATATAATTAAACATAAATAAAAAACGAATTTCAATTGATTTTAGATTTATCTTTATCTAAAACTATTTTATATTGGGTTATAAAGTCTTTATTAACCTTGAAAAATAATTATATTTGTTAATATATAATTAATTATAAATTAAAAACGAATTTCATTTATTTGATAATTATCCTTATTTAAAAAAATTCTATTATGTTTATCAACCTTGAAAAATAATTATATTTGTTAATCTATAATTAATTCTAAATTAAAAACGAATTTCATGAATTTGATAATTATCCTTATCTAACTTTTTTATATTATGTTATAAAGTCTTTATTAACCTTTAAAAATAATTATATTTGTTAATATATATTTAATTATGAAAAATCAATTTGCAAAGAATATATGTATAGATAATTTATATTGAGTTATCCAAAACATTACTAAAGTTAATTTTATTATACTTCTTTTTGTTATGTCTAGAAAACATATTAATTTCTTATTAAATATTTTAAATTTATGAGAATTTCACATTTAATTTTTGCAATGATAATTATTTATATGATGATGAAAAATTTTATATATAGAAAGAATCTGTTTAGATTATTATTAAATGTTTTGAGTGTATGCACAATAATTTATTATAATTTACTTAAATTAACTATATATTTGTTTATAGATATTAGTAAAATTATTAAGCCCGCAAGTGCGGGCAAAACACCTAGTATATATTTGTTTTAGCAGAAGTTACATTTGTTATGTCCCTTTTAAACGAACGAAGCTACAAAGGTATTAGTTTATGTTATGTTAATGTTGTTCGGAAAAAAAATGTTGTTTGAAATATTCTCATGTCACATATCACTATGATCAGTTTCTTCTCCATCAATTATATTTATGATTGATATGATCAACAGATGAGTGACACACGTATGAAGTAACAGAATCACAGGAATCAAGCCAATATCCTCGTTTTTGTTCCAAATCTCAACGAGAGGATTCTCTGAATTTTGTAGCTGTGCACAACCATGGGATGACGTAGAGATCAGTAACACATTTCTATTCAATGGCCTTATAGTCACATACATTCGACACAAGTGGTGAATTCTTTTGCAAGTCCTGAAGCTCTATTATTCTTCAATGTTGTATATCTCTTATACCTAAATGAATATTTTCAAATCTATTTTAGTATGTTAATTAGGGAAAGTCTCTTGGACTTAGAGAATCTCCAACCCCACTTTATATTTTACTGCAAAATGGAGTGGAGAATGAAGTTATGAAGAAACAAAAATCTCATTACTCCATATTTGGAGTAATTATTTTTTTGTTTCTTCATCACTCTATTTTCCATTTCATTTTGCAGTAAATTATGGAGTGGAGTTGGAGATGCTCTTGGGTGGTAGAGATAACAAGAAAGAAAAGTGAAATATGAACTCGACAAAAAGATTGGTCTTACCAAGGCAAGCGAGGGCAAGAGGACATAGATATCAGCATACACACACTCACACTTCAGACATCGAGCTCTCACTATTCACTCATCAACCTCTATTTTTTTTTCATTTCTTGTAGTCTATTTTCATTATTGTTTACACCATTGATCTTGTAACTCGATATTCGTCAATACAATCCGTTATCGACAACTCGAACCTGTTTACATCAATGTTATTCTAAGGAGTTTCTTCCTAGTTATTCATTTCCTAATATATTACAGAAAAACACTCTAAAGACTTAGTGCCACATCTGCCATCTCTTACCACAATCCCAAATCACCACTCTAGAGCTTTTAATTTTCTTGTTCTAATTTTTTTTGCTTGTATCTCGACGAGCATTAAAAGGAGAGAAATATGATGACAAGATCATCACCGTTTCTGCGGACGATCCAGAGTACAAACATTTCACAGAAAGCAAACAACTTGCTCCTCATCGCCTCACAGAAATCTGCTGTTTCTTTGAAAGATTGTAAGCTCCTTTTGATTCTCTTACATCCCCATTTTCAAAACAAAATCATATTTTATAATTCCTAACATGTTTGAATGTTTTTTGCTTAGACAAGAAGAACGAGAACAAGAAGGTGGCTGTAAACGATTTCTTGCCATCAAAGAGTGCACATGAATCAATCCAATACTCCATGTAAAATTACTTTCAATCTTAAATTTTTAAACTTGGGGTAATGAAGAAACAAATATTTTTATGAAATATACATGGACCTAATGCTGAGTATGTTTTATACATACATTGAGGAGATAAACAAAAAAAACGGTATCTTCCCACACCAGAAGATGATTCTTCGCAGAATCGCATATACAACGTTTTAATGGAATATCACTAATTAAAATATTCTTAATTGTTAAACCAAAAATATAATTTTAATTATATATTTGTTAATTTTTTGCCGTTCTTTTGTTATTTTGATTTTTTTCTTGTGATGTTGCAGACTTGCAGTTATGTTGAATTGAGTAATTTGGAACTGTTACAAAAATGAACCCTTTTATTATTGTTAATTTGTCTTTTATTATTATTAGATTTGTCTTTGTAATTTATTATTATTTTTTCTCCTTGATTCCTCAAAATTGTTTCACCTAAATATTCACTCTCAAGCGATGAGTTCCGAAAGAAAAAAAATCTGTTTTCGGCGATCTTACCTCGAAGAAACCCAACAGAAAGGCCACTGTTTCCTCCGCCGAGCCGATCAGACGTACCGGCGAAACCTGTGTCTCTTCCGCCAAAGCTGTCTCCGGCGATGCTGTGTCAAAGAAACCAAACGGGAAGGGGATAGTGTGCTCCGATGTGCCAATAGAGAAAAGCGGCAGAGCCCGTGTCACCTCTGCTAAGACTGAAGAAGTGTTGCTCTTCGGAGATGTCAAATCTATAACTTTTTTTTGCTTTTTCTCATTATAGTCGCTTGAGTTCATAACTCGATTCAGCCAGCATGGATGGACAAAGTAAAACTCCTTGAGTTCATAACTCTGATTCAGATTGCATGAGTAGAGTAACCAATATTGTATACAAGGAGATCTTCAAGGTTCTCAGAGACACGAAGGTTTTGTTGGTATGTTATCTCAGATCTCCTCTGTTTTCAAGTACTGACTATATTACTTTCATCGCAGGGGAAGCAGCCAATGTGTTTTTTTAAGAATTTAAAACTTCGACGCTGATATCGTATTTGAGTGTAGTAAGCATATTTTGAACAACTCTACTCCGTCTTTTCTTATCGTTTTCCACTAATGTAAAAGATTACGATCTTCGATTCTGCGATCTTGACTCGATAAACTCTCTCTCTCTCTGGACAGGTTCGCGACTCCTTTAGGAGATTGATTTGAGCTTAAACGTAAAGATACGAAAGACAAATTGCACACGAGAGTTTTTAGAGTTCCCTGTCAAACGACGAGGTACGTCTCCTTCAGGACCGGGACCTGGAATTCACTATCACTCTTATCAGATTACATAAGTTATTTTCTCTTCACAACTCTAACGTCTTCTTCTATGTTTCAGATATATATCAGGAAGACGATGGTTGTTACGCGGGTTTTTATTAACTACGACGCACCCTATGGGTAATGCAAGTGGGCTTAAGCAGCAGCCTCGGCCCAACGCAGTTCCCGCTTCTTCTTCTGCTTACACTTCAAACTCTGATCCAGAAGCCCAACAATAATAGGCCCAAGTTCGACACCACAACTCACAGTATCCATTGAGCTATATCCTTGCTATTTATAGCTTCCTTGTAGCTCTTAGGTTCTTCTTCATCTAGGGTCTCCGCAGTAGCCAAAGCGTATGCTACAAAATCTGCATCTTCAAATCTCGATGGCGGCTTTATGACCCTCATTTCTCTGTCTCTCGCAAGAAGATAATTCCCTAAGTTTTCAACTTGACCTTCCTCCTCCGAGTCTTCTTCTGAATCATCATCAGAACCTTGACTAGTCTCTGAAGTTTCAATTTTCTCAGTGCTTGTCTTGTTCGGATTTACTCCACCTGGATTTGAGCTTTCTCCTTCAAAGTACTCTGTTAAGTTTTCCCTGAAGGTGTCACTTTTCTTATCTTTTCTAGTCCATGATGCTTCCTGACTCGTACCTACGGTTTCCTTGTTGTTCTGAATGTCTTTGTACATTGTTGATTCGTCGAACATGACGTCCTTGCTGATTACAACCTTCTTATCTTCAATTAACCAAACCATGTAACCCTTTATTCCTTGACCATACCCTAAGAGTATCCCTTTGACTGCCCTCGGACTTGTTTTCTCCTTTGATTGATGCACGAAAGAAACACACCCAAAACTTCTTAGATGCTCATAGCTGGGTTCTTCTCCTGACCATTTCTCTTCCAGTATCTCAAACTTTATGGATGCATTAGGTGACCTGTTGATGATGTAGACGGCAGTTGCAGCTGCTTCTGCCCAGAAACTATCATCCAGTCCTGACTCACTTAGCATGGCTCTTACTTTATCCATAATAGTTCGGTTCAACCTCTCAGAGATCCTATTTTGCTGCGGAGTGTATGGGCAAGTCTTATGTCTTCTTATGCCTGAGTCTCGACAAAGAGAATCCATCTTCTGATTGCAGAACTCCAACCCGTTGTCTGACCTCAGACACTTGATTTTCTTCCTTGTCTGGTTTTCAACTAGGAGCTTCCATTCTGCAAAACAATTATACACTTCATCTTTAGTTTTAAGAAAATAGATCCAAACTCTTTTAGAATAATCGTCAGTAAAGATAAGGAAGTAATGAGCCCCTGATAAACTCGATTTTGTGATTGGTGATCCCCAAAGATCGGTATGAATGTATTCTAGAAATGTCTTCGTCGTATGCTTTGATTTTGGGAATTTCTACTTATGAGATTTTCCCAATACGCAAGCCTCACAAAATCCCAGGCTCTTGATCTCTTCCTTCTTGATGTATCCTCTCTTAGCCAGTGTCTCCATGGATCTTATGTTCATATGTGCCAGTCTTGTGTGCCACTTCTTGGTGTGATCCAACTCCCCCTGTGCCGAGTTAACCTCTAGTTTTCTCACTCTTCCTTGTAGGTAATAGAGACCGTTTGAGTATTTCCCTGTAAGAACCTTCTTATCGCCTTAATAGAACCTTACTTCATAGTCACTTCCTTGATATCGACACCCAGACTGCTCTAGTTGGCCGTAAGATATGAGGTTTCTTCCCATATCAGAAATGTACCGAACATTGCTTAGCTCCACCACCGTTCCATCATGATTGTCTAAAGTTATCTTTCCCATTCCTTGTACTACACAATAAGAATTGTTTCCCATCATGACTGTTTTTCCTTCGAACTCAGTGAAATCACTTAGAAGATCTCTCCTTGGAGTGATGTGAAAGGTGCAACCAGAGTCTAGTACCCACTCATCTCCTGAGGCGTATAAACTTGCTGTTAAAGCTATAGGCCCGGGTAGCTTATGTGCTACGTTCACTGAGTTGTTAGCCTTGAAAGATTGTTGATTCTTTCTAATATCACTCAAATGTTTAACCCTAAGGAGTGAATTACTCTCTCAAATAAGAGATTCAATTGTAGTACTTAGTGATCGAATTCACGGGGAGCTAGGGAACCTAATAGATCTAATAGTTATATGATTAAGCTAGGCCAATAGGTAATAATGCAGTAAATAAATAAAGTAAGGCAATAAACAAGATGAACAAGGTAATTATTCAGCTTGGCAAGGATTTGTTGGATGGAAGGATGGTTGCTAGATCTAGGGTTTCTATTCAGGTAATCAGGATTATAATGCTATAGATGCCTAACAAGTTGCATGCATAATATATAAGAACTTCAATTCTTAGACAAATCTATAGCTGTCGCTAGTTAGACTCGTTCATTGATCTGAATGCCGACAGTATCGACCGATGTTGCTATCGCAGTGTCAGTCGATATGTGTTGCCGTCGATCGATGACTCTATAGGAGTATCGATCGATATAGCATAAGATCGAATCGAAACTGTGTTCACCCGAGATTCAATTAGACCGCCTATCGCACGTGCCTAAATGATCTGAGTTTGTAGAGGATGATATCAGGATGAAGATTAATAAATTAAACTATTCCGGTTCATGGTTCTAGTTCATGACTCTAGAAACAAGCATTAAAAACATCCTAACAATGAATATCACAACTTAGCAATCTATAGTTGGGGTTAATCCCACAACCTATCTGAACCATAAATCCAACAGGTGGATCTATTCAGACATGAAGATTTTCACAGAAATCATAGATGAATAGATATAAAACTGAAATAGAATAGATATAAAAACCAATGGAGTTCCAGGAGGACTCTGATAAGAGTTCCTCCCTTCTCTCCTAACAAAGAGAAATGAATCAAAGAAAGCTTAGATAGCATATAGCCATCAACAATGGCTTATAAATATCATAACTAGGGTTTCTGGTCGTCAAGGGTATTTTGGTAACTTGTAGGCTTCAGTCGGTTATGAAATATAGTCATCCCACGTTCTGGCATCCATATCGACCGATATGAAGTGTCTCCCATCGATCGACATGCACATATCTTCTCGACAGCTTTCTCTCGCGAGGCAGACTGAACACTCTTCAGTAAAACAGGCATAACTTCTGATCTAACCGTTGGATTAACCTCAAACCGGTGGAATTGGAAAGCTAACTCAAAGCTCTATCTTGTGACCAAAGATCAGCTAAATATCACCATGGGAAGGTCTCCATCCATATCTAAACATCTGACGCGTCTGCGCAGTTCTGCACTTAAGGGCTCCAAAAGACACCAAAATCACCATATTTCTCCAAGACGTACCTGAACCTGTAAATACTCTAAATAGACTCCAAAACATATATAATTATCATAAAAACATATCAATACCATGACTAAAAGTGGGTCAAAATCATGGTATATCACTTTTTCTCTGGACACTCTCTCTTCCAGTGACTTTCACTTCCACATATCCAACAAGCTTTATCTTGTTTTCCTGTAGGCCTTCCTCTCGACTTGGATCTACTTCTTCCTTTGTGCTTGCTCTGCCAAGGTTTGTTGCTTCCTGAGTCACTTCTGCTCCCTGATCTGCCTCGTGCTTCAGTGTAAAGACCTTCAGATTGCTTCCCTTTTTAGTTTAACCCTTTTTGGTGTAGCTCCACCTCCTTTGAGTAAGCAGACATCATTACCTCACTAACAG